CTAAGCCCTCGATTTGTGGAATGTTTCGCGAGAGAGCAAATGCGCAAGACACGGGCGATGTAGACAGGTTCGGGCCGCTGAGAAGCGTAATACCCTACTCCTGTGTTCTGGTGGATCTGTGTATGAAGGAGTTACAAAGAGCTGGAGAGCAAGAGAGTTCAAACTCTAGAGAGACCCTCTCACTCTTTCTCTCCTCTACGAGCTCCGCTCTTCCTTTTACGAGCTCTCCTTCTTTTCTTCTCCCTTTCTTCTCTCTTTTTCCTCCAGTCCCCTCTCTTGGTAGGCATGGTCCTCCTTTTATATCTCAAGGGGATACCACATACACCATTTCTACCTACCCTTCTTTTGGGTGGGGACCCATCCTACTTTGACCAAAACTTGGCTCGTACCTTCGCCTGACACCGGGATAACCCTGTCCTTCCTTCATTAATGGGCGGAGATTTGCAATGGCTGCTGTCCGAATGACCCTCCGATGGGATGGGTCATACCAACCTCCACTCCGCCGGAAGCAGGTGCAACGTGGGAGCACGGTTGTTTGCTGATGACGTGACCGGCGTCAGACCAGTCACAAACCGGTCATTCTTGTCTACCACGCGTCAGTTTAGCATGCCACACGTCAGCCCTTCTTCATAAAATGACTTCCTTGTAATGGTTGCGATGAAGCCTGGTATGAATCTAGCCGGGACCGACGTGCTAACTCCAGGAGTTCCCACGCCGGCTCCGTCTAGGGACGAGTGCCTAGAGGCTCTCATCATTCCGACGGGACGGAGCGAGGCGTGCGACAGGCCGCCTGTTGCCACCTAACCCGCGATCTGACCGGTCTGTGACCGGTCACATACCGCGACTGGTCACAGACCGGATAAGCATGCGCTGCGCCGCATTGAATGCGGCGTGACGCGCTCGTCTAACCCACTATAAATATGGTTAGGTGAGGGCCGCTATGCTCACCTAACCCACACACGTGGCGCCAACACCACAGGGGGTCGGGGCGCCCCAGCCCTCGGGGCCGAAACGGGAGCGGCCCGACCCCTCGGGGAGACAGAGGGAGGGGTGGCCATGTCACCGTCGGGCCCGACCCCCCCCCCCCCCCCGAGGGGGTCGGGCCACGTGAGTGATCGCGGCTACCCAAGCCTCTAGTCACGATACCCCCGGCCCCATGTCACCGACAGTGTGTTTTGAATGAGATGAAGTTGAAAGATGCTTTAAGCCGTGTTAAACACATAGAAGAAATTGTTAAACAAGATGAGGTGTTTTCTTGCTCAACTTATAGAAAACAAAAAGGTCTTTTGGATGCTTGCAAAAATTGTGCTATTCTTACTCAGGAGGTTTTTTATTTGAAAAGTTCTTTGCAAAGATTTTCTGATGGTAAAAAGAACCTCAACATGATTCTTGATCAATCTAAGGTTAGCACACACAATCGTGGTTTAAGTTTTGATTCTTATGCTCATCATGCTAGACATCCTCCTACTGTTTTGGGTGTTGCTAGGAGAGGTGAAATTTTGATTGAAACTGAGCCTAAGAACACTGTGTTTAAATCTGCTGGCATCATGTCTTCTTTGAATGCATCTTCTTCGAAATCAAATGTTGTGAATGCAAAACCTTCTGTTGTTGCAAAACCATCAATTTCAAAACCATCTACTTCACAAATTTGTCGTGAGAAGTACACTTGTTCTTTTTGTGAAAAAGATGGACCTTTGGTTGGTTTTTGTTTTAGACCTTGCCCATAAATAGACACAGGACAGAGAAATTGCTTTTGCAAAACTACGTTAGCACAAATCGGGTTTTACTTCGAGGACCACGGTTAGACCGACACTGACCAGTCGGTTAGACCGGCAGCGGTCAGACCGCAGGTAAATCGGCGGTCAGACCGGTTGCCAGGCCCGGTTAGACCATAGGCACAACGGCGGTCAGACCGGCCTCGAGGCAATTTTGTGCGAAATTCAACTCAGACTTTTGTGAAGCAAAAATGTAAGTTTTTTTTGGTAAGTCTAATTCTGATTTTGTAAGTGCGTATGTACCTACTGGTTCTAGTGGTCGTGTGACTCAGTGTTAGATTCCAAAATTTCTTATTTCTAACCCCAACACGGAGGCCTCGACATCTTCTTGTTCGTAGATATTTTGGCGGCATACTCCCCATGAGTGTTCAATTTTAAGATGACGATTGCTTTTCAAGGTAACATCTATTTACTTTTGAATTGACATATTTTTTTTTGTTATACTCTCTTGTTTATTAGCTTTTTTCATATGCTAGTATTTGAGGTTGTAGTTTTGGTTAATACTATTGGATATATGTCAATTCTTGAGAATTTTGGTGATATCGTTGGCAATTGGATGTCTTTTTCAAAAGCTTTGATTTTTTTCTTGATTTTCGGGGAGAATTGGAGGTTATTTTGAGGGGGAGTTAGTGCTTATTCGTGAATTCTTTTGGCATGATTTGAGGGGGAGTTTGTACCTCATGGTTTTATCAAGCAATAATATGACAATGAGAAAAAATTAATAAATGAGAGCTTTGTTTATACATATGGTATTTTCTTGTGCATGCTAGCAATACTTTGAAGGTTTATTTGTCTATAGCATAGCTTGTATGTATTCTAGTCTTTTCATGAGATTTAGATTTTGCTTTTAAGGGAGATGATGCATGACACTTAAATTCTATACTTGAATTAAGCAAATATGCAATGTTGATGCTAGCATATGGTTTGATCTATAAATGCTTTGTATATATGCTTTATTGAATTGTTATTCCTCAAATAGATTTAATTGCTCATTGTGAAAAAGAGAATAAGAAAAATATGAAAAAAATGAATACCGAATCCTTGGAAACAGTCTTGACGACAAGGATGTATTCGATGTGAGCAAAATAATGTGTGCCAAATCCCTGGAAACAGTCTTGACGACAGGGACGTACCCAGAATAAAAAGAAAAATATGAGCAAAAAGGCTCAAGAAAAGAAAAGGTTAAAAAATTCTCTTGGTTGTTTTGTGCTAAAGGACATTTGAGAAAGAGTGATAAATGCAATAGGTATATGTGTTTAGTGTTTATTCTTCAAACTATGTGCTTGTTAAGATGTTGCATTATAAATCGTATGAAATTATGAATTTTGATTGTTGATTCAAGCTTAATTGTAAAGTTTTTGGTTCATGGTTATACTTTAATGCATGCTTGTTCTGTTATAGATGGGTTTATCTTCTTTTTGTTGCAACACATGACTTGATATGCTATATGTATGCTAAGCTCTTATACATTAATGAACATAATTCCTATGCTTGATGAAATCATTGTCAAAAGGGGGAGAAGTAAGGTGGAAATTTTTTGGTTTTTTAAGAGAAGCAGGGGGAGAAAAGAAGAGCATGTTTTTGGTTCAATTGGGAATTTCTTTCTTTTAAAAAGGGGGAGAAGTTTTCTTTTGGATTTTTGAGCACGATGTGTACATTTGTACGAAGTGTGCTTTTTACCGCTTTTGTTTTTATTTTTCCAAACACCAAAACATTTTTGATGAGGTTTGCCAATGTGTTCATCAAGGGGGAGATTGTAAGATCAATGTGTGTTTTGATTCTTATTCTGTGATGAAATACTGGCATCTGTGATTATTGGTTTTGATATTTGGAGATTATCATCGAAGTGGTTTTGGAGATAATCAATTTTCAGGTGATGATCGGATTCACTGCTATTTTATGTGACCGGTCTGACCGGGCTGTGTATGCCGGTCAGACCAGCGGTGATCGAGCGGTCAGACCGGCCGGCCCGCGGTCTGACCGGCCGACGCTGTGTCGGTTTCGGTTTCGGGTTGTTTCTTTGGATATCCGTGATTGTTTCATGGTTATGGCTTCTAGATGGATACTATACGTATGTAATACTGTTGTTTGCTAACAATGAGTCAAGTTGGTGATAACTTGGTCTCAGAATATGGTTTCTTTATTTGTTTCATGTGTAGGTGACTCGATGCCTCGGGAGAATATTTGCGGTGATGGACCGGGAGTCGGCTTGGTGGTAAGACGATGTCCGTGGTGGTCAGATATCATGCGGGATACTAAGGCTAGAGTTGATGCACGTGGTTGGTGAAGATTCCATATGGCATACGATGGAGGTATTGTGTACGTATGGGATGCGGAGTCGAATTTGGAAGGAGTCCAAATTTGGTACAATTGGTTATGTAAAGTTTGTGTCTTGTACTGTATGGTTTCCTAAGGTGTTTAGGACTCTTAGTATGAGTTTGGTTCGTGGCTTTAGGCTGCCTACCTCATGTATAAATAGAGGGGGAGCGTGAGGCTTTCCGGTATCGCTTTTGAGAGCAATTGAGTTGATAGTTTAGTTAGGGTTTCGAGTTTAGTCGAAATTTTTGTAAGGAGTGCTGTTGGTGCACTTTGTAAACACAGAGAGAAGCAATAAAGTTGTCATCTACTTTAATAGTTCTTCGATTTGTGTTTCACCGGGTTTCGGCGGTCTAACCGGCAACTCACCGGTGGTCAGACCGACGGCATTGCGGCGGTCAGACCGACGGGAGCACGGCAGTCAGACCGGCGGCGGCGACAGCGAGCGGCAGGCGACTTCGGCGGTTTGACCGATCGTTCTACATCGGTCAGACCGGCGGCATCCACTCAGTCAGACCGATAGATCAATCTCGGTCAAACCGATCTCCGTCGATTTCGAGGGTAACTTTTATTTCCACTAAAAGTTTTTGGTTTTTGGGTATACCAAACATTCACCTCCCTGGTTGGCTTAGTTATTGTGATTCAATCCTACAAAAGAATATGTAGCAAAACTGCTCGATTGATCTGTACCATATATGCACGGTTCATTGTAAGTTGTGAAGTTTGCACGTACACGTTCTCTAACATGCGGTGTGCGAACGCGCGCAACGGGCGTGCCCGCGTGGAGACGGTTCAGTTTGGGAGCGGGCGCGGCGGCAACCGCTGCGAAGTATAGCAACGTTTCACCCTACGGTCGCGACCCATGGCCCTTCTATATAAAGTCTGTGACACCCCGAGTAGTGAAGAACTGTGCGAATTCGTGTAATCGTGTTCTTCACTGCTCTGTAAACACAGTGTCACACACACACACAGGGTAAACTTGCAATGGCGAACATCTGTGCCAACATGAAGCGCTGCTTCTCGCCGCCGGCGCTCCGGGCGTACTTCGCCGAGTTCTTCTCCACCTTCCTCTTTGTGTTCATCGCCGTCGGCTCCACCATCTCCGCCCGTAAGTCATGCGTTTCACTGCAACCTACGTTCCGCATGTCGTGCGAATTGCTCTGCTTTGTTGGTCTCATACGTGATTTCGCTCTGTGAACTTGCCGCGCGCTGTTGCCAGGGATGCTCACGCCGGATGAAACATCCGATGCCTCGTCCCTGATGGCGACCGCCGTTGCGCAGGCGTTCGGGCTCTTCGCCGCGGTGTTCATCGCCGCCGACGTCTCCGGCGGCCACGTCAACCCCGCCGTGACGTTCGCCTACGCCATCGGCGGCCACATCACCGTCCCGAGCGCCATCTTCTACTGGGCGTCTCAGATGCTCGGCTCCACGTTCGCCTGCCTCGTCCTCCACTACATCTCCGCCGGCCAGGCAAGATCACTTCCGATCGAAATGTCCTTAACTTTGCGTAGACTAACGCGCGTTTGCACACACAGGCCGTGCCGACGACGAGGATCGCGGTGGAGATGACCGGGTTCGGGGCGGGGATCCTGGAGGGGGTGCTCACGTTCATGGTGGTGTACACGGTGCACGTCGCCGGCGACCCGCGGGGTGGAGGCTTCGGCGGCAGGAAGGGGCCCGCGGCGACGGCGCTGGGCGCGCTGGTGGTCGGGGCCGTGACGGGCGCGTGCGTGCTGGCGGCGGGGTCGCTCACGGGCGCGTCGATGAACCCGGCGCGCTCGTTCGGGCCGGCGGTTGTCAGCGGGCACTACAGCAACCAGGCCGTGTACTGGGCCGGCCCGATGGTCGGCGCGGCGGTGGCGGCGCTGGTGCATCAAGCCCTGGTCTTCCCGACCGTGCCGGAGCCGGCGCCGGCGCCGGCGACGAACGAGTCGGCGCGCCATGGGAGCGTGCAAACGGTGGTCGTGTGATGAAATCATTCTGGCAGTCTGTCACCCTGACGAAAAATCTTTGTTTGTCGTGTTAGAATCTTTGTTGCATTTGGTTTCGTGTAGTTACATGTAGTATGTGTGTAAGATCTGTGTCTTTATTAGGTTGTGGATTTGTGGATGTTTGAAGGAAAGAAAGCAATGTAATCTAGTATAGTAGGCAGTTTGATCCTAGTGAATTGTGATGGACTAATGGATGGTTTGGGTAGTACTTTTGTTAATGGGCTTCCTTTGATCTAAAATATAGAAGGGCCCAACAAAATCGGCCGAATACTTTTGTGTCAAATGGGCTCCTGCTAATCATATAGACGGTCCAGAAGTCAACAATGGCCTTGTAGATAGTACTAGTACCTGATAGTACTAGTGCAGAACCGGAGAAGTGCATACTGTAGAACTGCAAAATTTAGCAGCAGACCGGCGAAAAAAAAAACTGGCAGCAGAGCAACACCGGAATTTGATCAAGGGAGAATGCTACGCATAATTGAAACATATTATCAAATCGTCAAATTGTTTGGAGAAACGACGTCTTACCGTTCTTCTGTTTTCTCGTAGCTACTGTGTGTCTCACGAACCATTTGATAATCTAATCAATGTTGGATTTTTTTTCTGTAACAATAAGCACAAGCAGCGCAAAAACCGCGGTCTTCACCAGCCCGAGCGTCATGGATAAGTATCCGGTTGCAAATTGCAACTTGCGATACGCTGCTGATGGAAGCCCATAATAAAAGGGAAAAAAGAAAAAGAAAAACAAGTGTTTTCATAAACTTCGCATGTAATCTTTTATATCGACGCACACGTTTTTAAACGCGCTGGTATTTCTCACCACGTAATCCACGACACTAAACGGTGAAAAACTAACTAAACGTCGCGGGGAGAACAAAACGAAAACCCAAGTGAGCTCCCGTCGAATCGATGCGCATATTGGTTAGGAGATCTCGCCGCACAATCCGCGTATCGGCGTATGCTTGTTGCTTGATGGTCTCGTGCTCAACATAAATCTCATCCTTTGGGTTGGTTTGCTTCGCCGTCTCTCTCATCTGGCGCTGCGCACCATGTCTCCTCTCGCGTTACGGTTCGGAGACCCGGCCATCTGGAAAGCGACGTGAGGCCGTCTGATATACTGTGATCCCCACGTCTCTTTTTTTGGTCTCTGAATTCGTCAACTCCGAGCTCTCGTTACGCTGGGAGCACCAACAGGTAGTAGCATACAGCTTGGACGATCTAGGGCGAAGCACTGCTCATGGCGGACGCTGCTGGTTACACGCAAAATCAATACGATGATCAAGAGTGGAGGCTCGTTAATCCTAGTGGAGCAGAGCAAAACTATTTATCCATACTGCTTCTTGCAATGATGTGATGGTATACCACAAAATCGCGTACGCACCCCGCCCGCAGTGATCGTGGAACCCAACCCGTTTTCTGTAACAGAGATGTTCAATTTTTTTTTAGGGACTACAGAGATGTATACGACCAAATCCCCTTTAACATATGATGTTCGATCTCGACATCCTGAAGTCGCAGCAATATGCTGTGTAGCAAATGCGGCATACATTACAGTCATGCCAACCGTGTCAAACCAAAGGATAAAATTTTCTACTCCTAAATCGAATAAAGTAGAAGTATTAGAGTAAGCAACACCAAAGCCTTGGGCGGCACGCAGTTGTTTTTATTTATCAAAAATGAGTTAATTTCTTACGATCAGTTAGACAGGTACGTCGGGGATGATATATTCGTCCCTATATTCTTTGTGTCCACGTGTCAGTGAGAAAGCATCGAGACTAATATATACGAGCGCATAGACGCATTGTAAATGCGTTGTTGCAGAACCTAATGCTAAACGCAACGTGGATAAGCTTCATTCTCTAATCTAAAAGCGAAAATGACGTAGATACTCGCTACTAGTAGTAAATAAGACCGAATAGACATCTAAACAACGAACTGTATTGCACGATGCCTTGTGAGAGAAGGAAAAATAAAGAGGACATCCCTTCATTTTTAAAAAGCTTTAGATTCGTTTTTTATATTTTAAAATATTTTGGCAATTATGATGGGCGGAAGTTTCTCTAGTTGAATTCTTGCAGAAATATATAAACTTTTTTCTACAATACATTAAGATAAAAAATTACTGATAATATATTATGTGGAGAGGCAAGCCATAAAATTATTCATATACTCTCATATATGATACCGTTGATTTTTCATTTGCTCATTGGTGTCATTAAAAATTTGGTGCTAATATAAAAAATATAAGTCAATGTTAAGTATATTTAATGATAAAATAAATAAGAACTAATATTTAAATAATATATTTTTTAAAAAATATAATATAAACACAGACACTTATAATGCGCGCATATTCACCCTCGTGAACATTCACACGCACACCTTACCATAAAAGCAACTCATAAATATTTGGCTAGTAAATCTTGATATTGACATAGACATCGCGGGCACCCCCTTGTCTACGAGTACGTTGTCACCATTTAAAGAATAATTAGCCTAAATACAAGTGCATGTGTCAAATGTAGAACTTCAAATATTACACAAAAAATCAACAAATGTGATATATTAAAAGCACATTTACAATTAAAAATTACTATGTCACTACATATATTGCTAAAAAAATAAACACAATGTGATATATTAAAAATTAGTATGTCACTACATATGTTGCTAAAAAAAATAAAAACTAGCGTATGTACAATTAACAAAGTAGATATGAAAAGTCCATTATTTCATTTAATAGTTAAACATTCACAAAGATAGATATAAAAATGGAGTTGCTAGAAATATGGCGCCATATGCTACAGTCGATTTTTTTTAGCCACTTACACAGTAGTTACACCTCATTTACACCCCACTTACATATGCAATTAGCATGTAATTTTTGAATTTACATATGTAATTTTAGTACTTACATATGTAATTTTGAGACTTACATTGTAAATACACTAAAATTACATATGTAATTTAGGGACTTACAATGTAAATACATGCCGACTATTTTTTGATGAAAAATATGGCGCTATAAATATAGCTACACCCTATAAAAATTAATTCTTTTATTTATCTATATGCTACAAGTTACATTTAGAAAGAGATAGAGATAATAACTTACTAGTTGTACTTTCAAACACTTCCCCTGCGGAAATATATCATCAGTTAACAAACCACCCCACCCATCTTAATAATAAACCGAATACTGATTTGGTTCCGGAACCCAAACAAATCTGCCGGTTCTCCCACTTCGTACGCCGCCTCGCCGGAAGGCGAAGAGGAACAAACCGCGGCGGGGGAGGCAGAGGAGCATCAGCTGCGAGCCGGCGACGGCGAGGCCCCTGCCATGGTTGTCCACGTGGTGTACAGGAGGAGGGAGAGCTCTTGGAGAGGGGGCGAGACGTCCGCGAGGCTCCACCAGGGCGCCGCCGCCATGAGCAACCCGGCCGGCGGCAAGCACCTCGTCCGCCTCGCCGGCTCCTCCTCGCTCCGCGGTGGCGCCGCCCTGTCTCCCGCCGTCTCCATCTCCAGCGGGAGCCGCCCTGCCACGCGAGCCGGGGCCCGTGCCCTGCGCGCCGCCTCGCCTCCCCCGGCCTGCTCCATCGCCTCCGTCGGGTGCTGGGAGTCCCGCGCGCTCCGCCTTGATGGCGATGAGGACTGGGAGGTGGTCGTCGCCCAGGGCGATGACGCCGTCGGGGCGGATTCTGGGGCGTTCGACGCTGTCCAGGAGGCGGCGGATGAGCACGCGGAGGCGTTCGGGGCCCCGCCCACCGACCAGGAAGTCCGCGCCGCCGTTGCTAGCATCCAAGAGTAAGATTCTACTTGATGCTCTTAGGTTTACAAGTTTTGATCTTTGATTATCTAGAAAAGATCGGAACTGCCTTGTTTAATTACTTGCTAATTGATTTTCTTCTATAATAATATAAAAAGGGGGGGGGGGAGGTTTTCCATGTTTTGTTATCGGTGATAATCGTCCTTTAATTACAAATTTGTTGCGTGGAAGTTATTATGCCTATAGCCACGGTCAAGCTATGTTTGTATGTTCCTGAAATCGTTGTGTATGCACCGTCTAGATGTGGAATGCCGTACAATGCGGTTGGATCTCCAATTTTCAACTTATCCTGCTAAAAGAAGCAATTTTTGTAGTACTTCTCCAACTGCATACACATGCTCGTCATTGCTTTGTTATCCCCTCTGTTATTGATAGACCTTATCAGCTCTTCAGTTGATTAATTTTATGCAATCTGGTTTTACATATTTTATATAAAAAAACACACACTGTTTTCTGTTGCATGCAGGGTATTTGAAAACCATCCTGGATTGGATTCTGATGCACCTGCCCAAGCACTTGCATTGTCCCCCATCTCAGGACTTCCTCCATCTGGAATGTTTGTTAATTATTTTTCTGAAGGTTCTACACCATCTGATATTAAGATTGAGGATTCTACTCCATCTGATGTTAAGATTGACCAATTAGCCAGCTTAGAACACTCTACACCAGACACTGCATCAGAGGAATGTATTGAACCTGCTATGCTTGTCCTTAACTCAACTGCTCTTTTGACAAGGGAACATCGGAATGTGCTGGATGCATTCCACCTATTGCAAGTAGATTCTTCTGTCCAGGTGAATGTGGGTTTGATTCAGTTCCTATTTATGTATAGCAATGATGAACTTGTTTGTTTGGTAGCACCAAATATTATTTTCCAGAGATGACCTATTATTCTTTCGGTCTTTGCCTAACATTCATCTCCCAACATGCAGAAAATGGTTATGGCCTTGTCAACTGATAAGTCTGTATGGGATGCCGTGATGAAAAATGAGGTGGTGCAAGAATTCAGGAAGTCCTTTCAGGATGGTATGTGGCTTTTAGCTTTAGCATTTTAAGTACATCTTTTAATAATAAAATAAAAGATCAATTTGGGCCTGGATAAGCGATATTAATCTGGTTGGTACTTTCGTTCAGCTAAGGAGGCTGATCCCAATGGAAGTTCTTCTGCTTCTCCTGGAGTGATGAAGTGGGTCATGGAAACCACCCAAGCAAAGATCAAGGAATTCCTTGAGAGCATACTTAAGCTTGTGAACATGCTCTTTCAAGCTCAGAGTGAGGACTATGATTTGTATGACGATACAGTGAGAATGTCCTTCATGCTCGCAGTGTTCGTCTTCATTGTGGTGACTGTGGCTCGCATTAAGTGATGCCAAAAATTCGTCGACTTCACATTTGGTGGTCTGTTAGCTGTGTACAGGATATGTTCTAGCCTTTTAAATTCTTGTCGAATGGGTTAAGATCATGGATGGTATCATTCTTAGTTGTCAGTTCAAGAACTTTCATTTTAAAATTGCCAAGACATCAAGATTCTCAGTGGAGGTCTTATATGTTTACCCTATGGGAATACTATGAATTATTGCCTTAAAACATTAGTATTTCAGGATTTTAATGAATTGGTGAGACGAATTTTCATTCCGAGACTGGATGTACAGTAGTTATTTGGTTCCCCTGATAATTCCTCTCCACCATGTACAGATTATCACAAAACTCTCTTTTATCAATACACGAGGCAAAATTCTTGCCTTTTCAAGACAATTTCTCTCCAGAGTTAGACTGGATCTGATGCTTGCTCTATGCTCATTCATCTCCCCAGAAACCATGGAATCCCATTGGAAAAGTGAGGTTCTTTGGCACCTCTAGTTTTGCCACAAGTGCATTCTCTGTCCCTATCTTCTTTGCATCCAGCACCACTAGATGGCATCTGTGCTTGGAGACTGCATACTGTCAAGAAGCAAAGAGACATCACATGTCTTGATGTTAATTCAGTAGTAAACATTTGTACTAAATCTTAAGAAAAAACAAAACACTCGTACTTCATGTTGATGGAACGGGCACTCCGTCTTACCTCTACAAGAAGAACATAGCCACCATCCTCTCCGCCGCCGGTCGGGACGAAGACCGGCTCGCCGACGAACTTGCGCCCGTCGGTAGACCACCACCGCGCCGATCCATCGGAGACGTCGACCTTCACCACGCTGTCGAACGGGAAGTACGGGAGGAATCTGCGGGAGCCGGACGCGGCGCCGGCGTAGACGAACCGGTTCCTCTGGTTGGCGTAGCTTGGGTTTATCGCCGGGAAGTCCGCCGGCCTGGCGTGCTGATCGGACAGCCTCCTGACTGAGCACCTCCGGCACTCTCCCGTCCTGTCGAGCTCGATGGCCACCTGAACGAGGCGAGGCAGCCACTCCTTTCCCTTCGCCGCGTTCATGAACGACGGGTCCAGCTTCTTGTGGTGCCAATTGTAACCTGTGATGCAGATCACTCGATGATCGTTGTGTTCCAGCAATGTGCAAATGCAAGAACGAGCAAATATGGATTACTGTTTTTTTTTTTGTGGCGTTGAAATTTACCAAACATCCTGTGGAAATGGAACCACTGGTAGGAGCAGCTTGACATGTGCAGCCGGACGTCGAGGCCGCCCCGGCGGTTCGCCTCCTCGAACGCGTTGCCGACGTGCACGGACCACATCTGCGACGGCGCCTCGATCGGCACGCTCCAGTCGCGGCCGCCCGCCTCGGTCTCCGGGGAGCGCGGAAGCAGGTACACCGGCGTCGACTGCCTTCTCGGGTCCACGGCCAGCGCCGCGATCATCGGGTGAGTGCCCGTCAATGCCAGCAGCGATCCTACGCCCGAACACGGCACCAACCAAGCATACCAAACGTCAGCATCAGACGCCAGTGCGCGCACGATTCCATCATTCCATGGACAAGTTTTCTTTTGTTTTCTCTTCCTTACCGGGGATGTCGAGCTTGATCCTGTTGCCGAGGAGGATGTAGTGGGTGTCGGTGAAGGCCCAGTCGTGGATCATGAGGTGGTCCGGCACGACGAACTCACGCTTCTGGACGAGGTCGAAGTGGGCGTCGAACTCTGCCATGGAAACGCCGTTCAATGTGATTTTTTTTTTTGGAGGAGCGAATGGAAAATGCGTGGTTGGTCGAGGCGATGGCGAGCTGACCGTAGAAAGTGAAGTGGGATCGCGGGAGGAGCATGTCCTCGGCGTTGCAGGCGACCATCAGCAGACGCCCCCGCCGCGGGTCGATCTTGTAGTGCGCCAGCAGCCTCTTGCCCGGCATGTCGAACACCCCTGCACCGCACGCACGCACGCGCGCACCAGCGTCATATCAGTTCGGTCCGAATCGATCGAAGTGGAGGCCGCTGCTCCGGTACAGTGTCACGCACCGCTAAGAACAGGGCGCAGCAGGCGCGCGGCGGCGTCGAGGCCGGCCTCCTGCAGCCACGGCCGTCGTGCTGCAGACGCGTTCGTTGCCTTGTTGTCGTCGGCGGCGGCGAGGCCGAGCAGGTCGAACGGGCCGACGGTCTCGAGCGTCCGGGGGTCAACCTCGTACGGCTGGCCGCCCTCCCAGAGGCAGAGCAGCCGGCCGCCCCACCGCAGCACGCTGGTGTTGGCCACGTTCTTCATCACCTTCACATTGCCCACCTTCTTCCCGCCCTGCAGCACGGAGAAGGGCCCCCGGTGCGTGAACCGCCACGACGCGCCGTCCCGGCTCTCCTCCCTCTTCGCCGCCGTCTCCACGAACCTGCATGCGTCACTCACGCGTGCACTGTCAGTCTGTCGCTCTCACTGACAAACCTGCTGCTGCTGCATGCGCGCGGCGCGACTTACCGCGCGGAGTAGTGGATGGTGCGGTCGCCGGGCCGGAAGCGGAAGGAGCGGAGGTAGCCGTGGCCGTCGAGGGGGTGGACGGTGGAGCCGTGGTCGTCGGAGAAGATGCCCGGCCCGGCGAGGTAGTAGGTGCCGGCCGGGAAGTCGGGCGGGATCGCGCCCTCGGTGACGCGGAGCGGGATGGAGTCGAGGCACTCGTCGCGCTGCGACCGGAAGAGGAGGTTGTAGTCCCAGAAGGCCGCGGACAGCGTGTCCGTCTCGGCGGCGGCGGCGGCGGCGGCGGCCGAGGCGCGGACGAAGACGCCACGGCGGCGCACGCAGCGGCGGGGTGGTAGAACGTGGTGGCGGTGCACGACGGCGGCGTGCATCGGTGCAATCGCTTGTGTTGCCATCTTTGGACTTGGCCTCCTTCGGTCGTTGGCTCGTTTCTCGTGCTTTAAATCAAGTATATAGTTGAAGGGAGTTACCTAGTACTCTACAAATATAAACCTACTAGTACTATTGGTGTTTAACAAGAAAAAAAATGGTCCTCTCTTTTGATAATTAAGCATTTATTTGAGTAGTATGTGCAGTGGAGATGACCTGCCTAGTGGTACAGATTTGGTTGTGTGTGTTTCTTTTGGTTTCGTTTTGGATGGTTTTGGAAATGGAATCATTGGCATTTTAGGAGTGGAATCCAAGGATCGTGTGCAGTGTTGGAATAATCGTTAATACGTCACTGTTTATATCGAACAATGACAAAACAAAGTGAGACAGTGTGCCCACGTAATTTGAAAGAGATGTATAAATGGGCCTGTTTGAACAATGGCTAATTCCAGTTCAATATTTTTCCCCGGAGAATATGCAGTTATAGGCCCCGTTCGTTTTGGATTTTGATGGCACATTTTTCAAACTGCTAAACGGTGTGTTTTGTGCGAAAATTTTCAATATGAAAGTTGTTCTAAAATATCAGATTAATCTATTTAACAAGAAGGAAATGGTTACTCTCTTTTGATAATTAAGCATCTCTTTGAGTAGTATGTGCAGTGGAGATGACCTGCTTAAATCTGAATTTCTTTCGGTTTCGTTTTGGAGTGTTTTGGACCAGGAATCGTTGGCATTTAAGGAATGGAATCCAAGGACTGTTTGCAGTATTGGAATAATCGGTAATGCGTCTACACTGTTTATATCGAACAGTGACAAACAATAATAATAGTGAGGCAGTGTCTCTACGTAATTTAAAAGATATATAAACGGGCCTGTTAGAACAATACAAGGCTAGTTGCAGTAACAGTAATCCTTTTTTTTTATCTGAGAACCTGTAGCTATAATAATCTTGGAAAAGGATGGAAAGTTTGAAACTTCTCCCAAGTCACAATCCAGTCCCCAAGAGCCATCGGCTGTTGTCGAATGATTCAGACAATATTAGCCCATCCCTAGCCAATGATTCAGACAAATTCGACAACGGAATCAACTCATCCGCAGCAGATAGGACGTCCTTTCGTTTTGTAGTATGATTTCTAAATGAACTCTGAAAGTCCTAAAAACGTGATACATGCTGAACACTGGCAAGTCTCGACACTGTAGCACCTAAGGGACAGCAAAGTGTTTCGCTAATGGAATGGTTACTACAAACACTGATTGCAACGACAAATGGCTACCACAAACACTGACCGAAAGGAATGAACAGAACAACATGTTGGGGAAAAAAATCAAGCTAAACAGAAATGGCCCCTTAAATCTGAAGGTATGTCTTATTATTATATAGCCGCAAGCATTGTAGTGCTAAGCACAACAGTTCTAAGGGGCTGAAGTGCTCAACAGACACTAAACAGCACTACGATATGCTTACCGTATCAGTATCGCACAAAAAGTAAATAGACAACATAATGAGGAATAGATTCTGTAACGCCAAGTGAAGGGGTAGAGCTTTTCCTCCCTTTTCTCAAAATTTCTCTCACACAACAGATCAGAAATGACGAATGGCACAATGAAAGACTGAAAGTTTCCACTAATACAGTACTTAAATACGGAAAAGAAGGCACCGTTCCATTAGATGCAAGTGGAATTTGCTCTGACCATGCCATGGTGGTGGAAAGAACAGAGGAATGATGTCTGCAAGGACCCAGAGCTCTACCAGTCCAGCCCTCCATGCCATCAGTTTCTCCAAACCTCATGAGTCACAGCTAGAACCTTGGTATAGTGGTGCCAAATCAAGTCATTTTCTCCATTCACTTGTGGTTCACAGTTCAATCTATCATATCACACCAGGCCAACTCCAAAAAGAATGACAAAAACCTGGAACAAAATAAGTTGAGTGTGAACCTGGAACTTCACATAAAGATGTTCAAGCAGTATGGATGCAGCATCCATGATTCCAATCAAGATACGAAAATTTTTAGACGTATGAACATGTAAAGTATTTGGAACAGTGAATGTGATATATTATTCCAAGTTCAGACATAAATAACCATAGGCGGAATGCCACAGTAACTCAGAATCTATTTTGTCCATTGCGATGCATGTTTTGGACAAAGTTTTATGTGTACCATCAGTAACCGACTGGACACTGGGATTGAACAATGATCCGAACTCCAAGCAATACCAAAGCAAATTGTATTGTATATAAATAGCCAGTGTGCTATGTTGGCCATAAGAAATAGACAGCTTGTTTGCAAACTATAATACTCTTGACCACACCATGCTGGTACCTTTGCATTTATGATATGATTAAAACAGATCAAGACAAAAAGAGGAAACTAAGACCTTGATGTCAATATTCAATACTTAAAAAATATATGTAAGCTACAATAGATATACATATGCAGGTTGATTTCATAGAAGTCATGAATAATAAAAAATAATGCAAAATACAATAAATAGAACAATAAGTGAAAATATAAATGTCAATCGATTGTCATACCGTTAACGAGCTGCTGACATTCAAATCTAAAGACGAAGCGACGGGACAGGGAAGTTATACTCCCTCCACCCCATAAAAAAAACTAGTATGGGATGTGACACATTCTAGTACTACGAATAGGAACAGGTAGGATGTGTCACATCCTATACTAATTTGTTTTTTGTGAGACAGAGGAAGTACTGGCATAGTGTCAAATGAAAGTGAATGTTTGAATCTGTTATTTTTTTAAGATAGTGCACTGCATACTAGGTGCATTTTAAATACAAACATGATGAGGCTGAACAAAACTAAAGAATTTTCATTTGCTTCTTTCATCATTGGAGCTTTCTTGACTAAGATCAGAAGTGCTGTATGACTCACAAAATTCCATGATAGATGTAGCAGATATCTCAACAATGGGATAAGATGATAAAGGGCAGTAGAGGCATGGAGGAAAATACTCTCATTGGCTAATAGCAAACAACTGGATAAGGTACATAATTTGTTGAAGTTGGTATTCCTGATTAATATAAACCTTCTACGATCAGTGGGTCAAAAGACAGTGTTAGCTAAAGTTGAATTGGTTATCTCAGTCACAAGCTCACAGCTCACACATTCCATATTTATGAACCTAACACTACTACACCCATACTCTTTCAGCACTCAGGTTTGAAGCTGGTGAATCATGCCCATGTTATTCCCAAACAACAGTAAAAGAACAACTTTACTTGAGTACAGTTTAACCTGAATTGATTCGATTTATAGCACAAACTACAAAAATGTCACCATTGCGAACAAAGTCACAGAACAAACGGATGGCAGAACCTATCTCAACCAGCTACAGGTGTGAGGAATACAATTCTTATTGCAATCATGAGGCATATCAAATGCAAATTACATTACAGTATGAGAAGAGAGGCACCGGAGAATACCACGACGGGATGAATCACCTCAGCCAGTGATCATAGTGCCAGTGCCCTCATCTGTGAGAATCTCGAGCAGCAACGAGTGCGGGACACGCCCATCGATGATGCTTGCAGTGTGCACGCCCTGTGCGAGGGCACGCACGCAGCATTCCACCTTCGGTATCATCCCACCAGCTACCTGCCCGTCGGCCACCATCTGCCGCACCCCAGCAATGTCGATCTCTTTCACCAGACTCCCGGGGTCATTACGGTCGGCCAGAATTCCAGACACATCTGTGAGCAGCAACAGCTTCTCCGCGCCGACCGCGGCGGCGATCTCGCCGGCCGCCGTGTCAGCGTTGATGTTGTAGGCCTGCCCGGTCTCGTCGGCGGCCACAGTGGCGATGACCGGGATGTGACCGGAGGCGATGATTGGGTGGAGGACGGTGGCGTCCACGCGCGAGACCTCGCCGACGAAGCCGAGGGCCGCTGCGTTCGGGGAGGGGCGCGCGGTGAGGAGGCGAGCGTCCTTGCCACAGAGACCTACGGCGGTTCCGCCCGCGAGGTTGATGAGGGAGACGAGGTGCTTGTTGACCTTGCCGACGAGCACCATCTCGACGACCTCCATGGTGAGCGCGTCAGTGACGCGGAGGCCGTTCCGGAACTGCGGCTCGACGCCGACGCGGAGCAGCCAGGAGTTGATCTCGGGGCCGCCGCCGTGGACGAGCACGGGGTGGAGGCCGACGCACGAGAGGAGGACCAGGTCGCGGATCACTGAAGCCTGGAGCTCCGGCGACTTCATCGCCGCGCCGCCGTACTTCACCACCACGGTCTTCCCCTTGAAGCGCTGGATGAAGGGGAGCGCCTCTGAGAGCACATCCACGCGGCTCAGCGCCGCCGCCGCCTCCGCCGACGAAGCAGCCGGCGCCGCGGCGGATGTGACGGCGAGACGGAGGCAGCGTCGAGGGGCGGGAGAGGCGGCGATGGGCTTTGCGTGGTTGGGACCCGGAGCGGGGCTAGACACCCGCGTGGATGGGAGGAAAGAGGAGGAGGAGAGGTGGGGCTTCGCGAGGAGCATGGCGGCGGCGGCGGCAGTCGGCTCGGGAAGGTGTTCGACGAAATGGCTATACGGGAGAGGATCAGAAGAAGGGTAGAAGAGGCTGGCCAGTGAACACGATTTTTTTGTCTGACACTGTCTCCGGATTCAAAGTCTGACGATTGTCACACATCTCATACTGGACTACTTGATTCAAACGAAAGAGTGAACTATCCAGATCAGCTCTCCGAAACAAAAGAAACACAAAACCGGAGAAAGATCATACATGATCTATCCACAAGAACCACTACACAAGCAGAAATGTTTTTGACACAACACAAGAAGAAAAATATAATAGAGTTATACCGAAAAGATAACAAAAATACTTCAATGAAAACATGTTTGAGCTCGAAACCAATTTCCGCATAAATTGTTCGGTTAATCCTCACAAGAAAATGATTATAGGAGAATTTGAGGGGAATAACTTCATATCTCAATCCCTTTAGATGAGGGTTAGACGAACAAATCCTTAATCTTGCCTAGAGCATAGTGGTTTCCGTCAGCCATCTAGCATCTCTCACTCGAGTAACATTATTCATCAATCATCAATAACAATAGCCATCGTAGATGCTTTAAATTCATCATAATAAGGAACCAAGTAGCTCCATGTTTTTTTTAATAAGAAGTAAATGACCGAAGCTATAATGAGTAAGTTACATAAGGAAAAATTATTGGGAAGTGGACTTTAAAAGACTTATGTAACTTTCTCATTTTGGTCATCTGTTCATAATAAACTAGACTATCTCCGTATAAGACGTAGGAGTAGAAAGGAATAACTATAGTATTTATTTCTTTTTACTCCTCTTGGCATTGCAAACCATTGGAACGTATTCATTTTAACTAAAGATGGATGCATTTTCCTTTTATCTAACAGATTCAAAATTTCATCTGTTGAATACACATGTTAAATATTATGCTCCATCGGGTCATAGTAAACAATTTTCCTGCTAGCGCTGCACAAAATCCTGCCATCCCTCAAATCAATCCTAGTGGAATCCCAACATTTGTTTCGATGGATTAGCATATAAATTCTTTACTCCTAGATTGACTTCGCAATATAGTCCCTTTTTGTTGGGTAAAAGCGGCTTCGATGCTAAAAACAATATAGATATTAGCAAATCCAAATTTAGTTTGATTAGGACAAGTCAATAACTTTCATTATTTTTTAAGAGCATTTGCTGGACATAATTAATTTTTTTATTACAATCGAAATTCTCAACCTCTTGATTTACTAGATAGGAGTAATTGGAAATCCAGATTTCCTTGCATCATGCCATGTCAATGTTTGTAACAATTTTATACGAAAAATTATGTGCATAGAGCCTTTTCCGCATGTTAGGCCCTCTTTGTTTAGGCTTAGGCTTATTGGTCTAGACTTTTAAGTCAGCTTATTGGCTTATATGATTTATAAGCCGGTGGATTTAATGTCCTAAGTTTAGTAGTTGAGTCATATATCTACCTCACATAAGCCAAAAAAACTTCTCCAACCTAGCTTTTGGCTTAATAGTGCTAGAGTGGCTTATGGCTTCAAAAAAGCCAAACGGAAAAGCTGTTTGTTTGTTTAGGCTTAGACTTTTCGACTTATAAGTTGGTTTATAAGCCTAAACAAAGAGGGCCTTAATATAGCTGACAAATGCGGTTAAGGTATTTCAAAATCTAACTAGATTATTTGAACTTTTTAGCAGCTACTGTTAGATAACGTATTGTTTAGATTATTCAATTACCTTGTGACATGGAAAATGTTTTTTTTCGCGAACGCATAAATAGATTGCACTTCAATGACACGGAAAATGGGTCAAGGGCTCAAGACCCATCTAAATATCTAATGCAATTAGTTTGGCTAACCTTTGTTTTTTTTACATGTTTGTCATGTTTTAGATGCGAGAAATCGGTCATTTTGTGCACTACATGATAACATAGTGTAGTATTATCTTGCTTGAATATGTACTATGTATTTTTTTTATTGAATCCATGCATATGATCTAATATATCTAAACGTTAACATCCCTTCATGCAATATTAGAAGAACAAAAAGATACTCTCAATGTATCCATACACCATCCGCCTTTACTTGTAATTGAGTAAAAATAAGTAGAAAATATGGTACTAACAAGCATTGTGCATTTGAACCAACTTTATCCCCAATACGACAATCACATACATCATGTGTGTGCATAGAGGACATGTTTTTTTTTTCATACCATCATGTTTCATCCCCTGTTCCCCACGTGGTATGCTTCTCTAGGACTACTTTTCCTCGACCAAATGGTTCATATATATGTATCTTTGTATTTCTGAACATCTTAGTTTTCATCTTGCCTCTCGACAGTTATCATGCTTTAACCTTCCGTTACCAACCTACCACATTAATGTTATGATCGACCGATATTATCACATGTAGAAACCAGAGTATTGCTCATGTCCGTCATGTGGTAAACACTGAAACCTTAACTAATAGTATTAAGCAATAGATTATTGGCTAACCTCTCTATATTCATGACCAATTCAACTATGGTAAAACAAAATTTAAAATGAAAAAGACCAAGACTACTTCAAAATAACCATATTAACCTTTTCTTAAAAACAAGCTATCTGAGTTAATTAACAAGAGTTGCAACCACATGAACCAACAACTTACTATTGCTTAGTAATATGACCTTGTATGGCACTGATAATCAAAGCTTTACATTGAAAATTGTAATACACTGGATTCACACCGTATAAAAAGAACTTCATATGAAAGACTTATCATGAAGATCAAATAATGCATGTCCTAGGTTCAGGTGCCAGTACTTGCTTATACGCTACTCCCTCCGTCCTATAATATAAGAGATTTTGACTTTTTACTTGCAGTGTTTAACCATTCGTCTTATTCAAAAATTTTTGGAATTTATTTATTTTGTTTATGACTTACTTTATTATCCAAAGTACTTTAAGCACAACTTTTCGTTTTCTATATTTGCACAAATTTTTTGAATAAGACGAGTGGTCAAACAGTACAAGCAAAAAAGTCAAAATCCCTTATATTATGGGACGGAGGGAGTACCTGTTAATTTTAAAAACAATATTTTATCATATATATAACAAAATAAATAATTTGTGACAGTAATCTATATTGAACATTGTCGTTCTCACCATTCTGGGCTGGCTGTTAAAAGGCCGACTGACGGAGGTCCAACCCTATGCCCGCTGGTGTCCACTGTCCACAGAAGCACGGAGTCCGTGCAGCGGGGCGAACAGCCGCCTCCGCCCGAGATAACTCACTCCGCCTCCCCACACGCATATTCTCTCTCCTCTCTGCGCCGTTCGCCTAGCTCTCCTCCCCCCCTTCTCTTCTTTCTCCTCACGGTTCTCACCTCCTCCCCCCTTGACAGTGCACACGCCAAAACCACCGCTAACTCCCACCTCTCGCCCACACCTCCCTGATCCGATCCCTTCCCCCCTACAACCCTAGCCGAATTCCGCCTCCGCCGCGATCCGCTCGTCCCGCGCTCCAATTCCGTCCTTCATCCGCTCTTTGTTTTTTTTGCGATTGTTTTTTTGGGTGCGATTGGTTTGGTGATCCGCGTGTTAGGGTTCGGGAGTCGCCGGGGCGGGGGTTTGGGTGGTGGATTGGACCGGTAGGTGGCCGGGAGGGTTGGCCCTTGTGGTTTCGGGGTTTGGTTTCACCCGCCGCATGTGGAGAATCGGAGGACCTGGGAGAGGTTAGGGTTAGGGTTATGGGGAGCACGGGGGAGCCCGACCGGAAGCGGCGGCTCAGTAGCTCCGTCGCGCCCGGCGGCGGGGCCCCTGTTTCTCCTGCCAAGCGGCTGGCGGTTGCACCCACCTCCGAAGATAAGAAGGTATTTGCGCATCTCGAGCCAGCTCTGTATCGTTTTGAGTTAATGTTTATGGTGGTACCGTGTTAGTACTGTTTGTTTGAGTTCATGTTTATGGTGGTAGTACTGTTTGATATGTTGTTGTATGATAGCTAGATGGTGGCATGGTGACTGATTTTTAGCTGTTTTGTTATGTCATGGAATCCATACATCCGCTAAAAGATCTATTGTGGACTGTTTGAGTATAGATCGATGAGTTTATTCTTGACAAGTGTTTGATGCTTTTGTACTTATGCTGAGCTCTATGCAATTGCAAGTCTTGCTGTGTTGTGGTCGTTAGTGGAAGAAGCCCTATGTATATTGCCTCCTGTCAGAGTGAAAACAAAAATACTAGTAGGAATGAGCTATGCATTATCCGTTTCGGATTCTGCAACTATTGCACGATTGTTTATGGTTCTTTAGAGCAATTGATGTATTCTATAATTATTACTCGGTGATAGATGGGAGGCTGACTTGTGAAATTGTTACTTGACTTACATTGCATTCTTGTTTTCCCGTGTTCATGATAGCAGAAAGTGGCAATTCCTTGGTAAACCTTCGTATTTTGAGTTTTTTAAATGATCTTAGTTTTTTGTGGCTACATTTATGGATATTGAAATGGTTAACTTTGGACTAGTAGCGGATCTAGAAGTTCTCTTGAGCTTGGGCAAACCTAAACGAATGGGCTAGATTATAGGATTAATAAGTATTATTTTTTTGTCAAAAGTAGATAATGGCTGTTGGAGAACTGTGTAGCTTTGGCCTTAGGCTGATGGCAGCAAACATTGGTGTGAGGCTGTGTCTTGACTCCTTTGTTGCTTGCATAGCTGATTTAGCCTCTATTAAAAGAAGCAGATTAAGCAGGGGCATTAAGTGGTAATCCACTGGCTAATACGGTGGAGCCCGGGCACCTGCCCGTGGTGGCCGGGCCCTAGCTCCGCTGCTGCTTTGGACAAATTTAATTTTCTTGCTGGCAATGATACCATAATGTGCCAATGCTTATTTACAATCATAGCGCCTTTTATTTTTCCATAGCATATGCTATTGTTTTTTGATATAGATAAAGGTCTAAATTGGGTCGTTAAATTAATATTAATGAAATTTGTCACCAAGTTACTACTGGTGACAACTGACAATTAATCGCTGTTACTACCGGTGACAACTGGCAATTATTCGCCTACTTTGTTATTTAATTTTACAAGAGGGAAATATGGGAAAAGATTGGTTAAATTTTGGGAGGGATAGGTCAAGGGTATAATGGCATGTTGGATGATACCTTTTATGCGTTTA